TTACAAATAAAGCATACATCAGCTTTATTTTCCTGCATAAAGTTGGCATATCTTCAAAGACAATTTAAATAGCTTTAACTTGTGAGCCTCTATTTAAAGAAATAACTCAAAGCAAACATTAGCTTAATAGCTTCACAAATACTGGAGAATGAGCCAGAGGACTAAATCAGAATTTAGTTTCAAACCAAAACAACTAACTAGTTTCATAAATCTTACCTGGACAATTTGCAGAGTTTTTTTCATCGTCTAAGTTTTGACCCTACTGCATATTGTACTTTAACTAACATTTGCCTATCAACTATGCTAATAACTATATTCTGATCCTATTCTGATTATACACAGTTTGCTTTCACCACTACACCACTAAAAGGAGTGAGAGAGGACAGGGTCCCAGTTCCCTCTGATGGCCAACAAGGTGAGAGTCTTAAAGCCTGATTGATACAGCATAAAATGTGATGCATATCTAACCCCTGTGTGTGTACCTGTGGATGCCTCTGCCCGCTATTCCTTGGCGTACCCTGACTTTGTGGGTGAGATCAGGTTCCATCGGGCATTTGAGGAGGCGCGGGCCAACCTGGTCAGCAGGGACAGTCCCTTGTTGGTTTTGGCGACTTTAAAATGGAAACCCTGGAGAGCCTGTATGAGTCTGAGGAAAATCTGGTAACTACTAATAGCATTTGCCTAATGATGCAAAATCTGCATTAGCTGTTAACAATTAGAGTAATTTAACCAAGTGTCTGATATGCATAGATTGGTCAAATATCTCAGGCGTGGTCTGATGAAGAGAATGGCATTCTCTTCATCAAGACCGAAAGAGAGCATGTACTGCTGCCACAGCCATGGCCCCCACACCAAGGAGCAGCACAAGCCAGGGACCCAGGGCTGCATCCCAGTTTGCAGCCTCTCTCTGGACGGCGTTCTCTGTCTGCAGTGGAAATGCAAGCTAAAGTAAAGAAGCTGTTGGCCCCTAAGCCTGCTTTTCCAGGTAAGCAGAGATTAAATTCATATTACATATAGTTTTGTTCACTGCATAATTCATGTTTTTTTCTCTTGTGTTGTCCAATTACAACCTCTCTCAGGCCAGCTGTTCCCTCAAAGTCATCAGATAAAGAGCTGGTCCTGTCATGATTCAGTTCCGCTGCTTCCTGTCCGGTTTTTATTTTGACGTTACTTCCTGTTTTTGTTTCACCTTAGTTTCGGTCTTTTTGCGTTCTTCATCACTCACATTGGTTTCACCTGTTTCGTTATTGTTTGCACCTCTATTTAGGCAGCGTCCTCCCACCAGGACACTGCCAGATTGTTCTAGACCCCAGCTCTGACTTTCCAGCATTTTCTTTGGTATTGGTATTTTTGTTTCTGACCCGGACTGCTTCCTTGGATTATTCTGTTCTGCCTTGCCCTCTTATTTCGGACTGCTTCAGTGTATCGGCTTAACGGACTTCTCTTTGGACAACGCGTTTTGGATTCCCCTGGATGTATGCGTTTGCTGGCTCTGATCTTGGACTGTTATACCGACCGTGAGTTTGTGTTTCCACCGTGTCTTGTATGGTTTTTGTTTACGTTAGTTCTCTTATTAAAGACACCGGTTTTGTTCATTACTTCCTCGTCTGGCCATTTAATGAGTTCACCTAACACTTTTCGGCCACATCGCGCATCGTTTTTGACAGGTCCAGGCAGTAGCTGAGATAAAGGAGTGCAAGTAAAAAATTTAAGTTGATGTGACATTTTGTGCATAATAGAAAGGCTGAAATTTATTGTTGACTCTCTTCTTTTTATTTTTGCCTTTTAACTTTCTCAGGACAGAGATGACGGGGTATGCCTGGGTCTAGTAAAAAACAGCAACAACAAAAACACTTTATGGTGTCTGCCTGATGCTAGTCTTCAATCACTAACCACGATGTCTACCAGTCAACTGATGACATCACTATCGAAGTGTCTGGGTCACTCCGTTTTACCTGCCCTTTCTCTCCTCCACACACCTGCCAGCTATCCTTATTATCACCACCTGTTGTCACTCCTGCAATCACCCATCTCCTATAACTACTCTGTCTCCCTACCGGCTCACTGCCAGTTCATTCTTGTTCCCACACAGACGACTAGTGCGGTTCAACCTAACATGAGACTGTCTTTATGTGTATTCCATTCCAGTTAACATCCTCTATCCTCTTAGCCTTCTCCTCACCTGTTCCTGCCGTCAGCTCCCCTTCTGGACTATTATCCTCCACACGGAGCTCTGGACCAAACCACTATCGTTACCCCCCAGACTAACATCTATCAACCAGGTCGGTGCTCTCCTCTCCTGTTTCTCTCTGCTCATCGTGATCTTCTGCCTGTTCTTCAGCCTCGACCATCTCAACTTGACCAGCCAGTGAGTGACCCCTCCGCAGCTCAACCCTGTGACAACCTTCATCTCCCCTGCCTGTGATCAACATCAAATACCCTCTACACTGGTTCTGGACATTTATATGTGTTTGTCACATTATCACGATCCTAGTTTGTACAGCACTATTAAACACTGCTTATGGTGAAGTCAGCCATCTGAATCTGCTTCCTCTGTCACACCACTTTGCATGGCGTGCATTCATAACATGAAGGCATCAGTAGAGTAACATTTCCTTCAGCATTGTGGCCCTTGTAACCTGCATAACTCCCATACTAGGTGGAGTCACAACTAATCCCGTAATCATTCTTTTGTGTTCTCCTCCCGTTTGTCTCTTCAAAACCACCTCAGGTTATAGTGGCTTCAGGGTCCATGCACCTCAGCTGTCCTGCAGTATTTTTAACACACACAAATCCCAATCTTTCCTCCCAGGAACTTGCAAGTATTCAGTAGCTTGCAATAGCATATCATCTGCGCTCACGAATACATTTGAATTTTGGAACTTCACGTGTAATTTTTGATCAGCACCCTGTTTCCTCAGGGATGAGAGCTAGTGCCAGATACTTTCAGGGATTCCTGGTTGATGGATCGTTGAGGAGGACTGAAGACTGAGCGGGTGGTGATGGCGGTGATGGCAGCTGCAGATGGCACATCTCCACTCCTAAAGTGGCCACCTCAAGGATGTCTTTAGCCGCCAGAGCCAAAGCATGCTTGGCCTTCAGATGGTTAAGGACTTCATCGAGCCTGCTGGCATACAGAGGTATGCAGTGTGAAACTCTGCTTTCTTTAGACATTTAATGTTTCACCCTGTTTGTACACATTGTGTTAAGCACTTTGAATCAGCTGTGTATGAAAATGTCTTATATAAATAAGCTCACTTTGCCATCAGTGTTAGTAGAAGGAGCATTAAGCAAAACCTTTGCTTTCTCCTGTGTCACAGGGGAGCTCATCGGGGTCGAGTACTTCTAAGAGCAGAAGGGCAGAGTGCTTGACGATGTCAGCTTGGACCCTGATGTTCTGGATGAGGCTGCTGCCATGGATTCACTAGCGGAAGTGGACAAGGGCATTGTGGAAGATGTGCGTGACCCCGCTGTCTTTGAACCTGCCGCCACCCTGCCCTCCAGCACAGCGGCAGCAGCAGCCCGGTCAGGTGATGCCCCTCATGAGGCCCCTGGGGTTCAGGCTCCCTGACTCCCCAGAGTCTGAGGTTAGTTAACTTACTTCAAACCGCTCATACTACTTAAAGCAACATAACTATATAATACATGAATAACTCTATTCTCCTTTTTTTTGTCATTTTGGCAGAGCAAAATAAATTTAAAAAAAAAGCTAAACAGAAATGTGCCCAATTTTTCACAGTGTTTTTTACTTACTGGCCCTGTTTGCTCACAACAGTCCTTCTCTCCCTCCCTGTGTTTTTTTTCTGAGTAGGAAGAGGAGATCTACGGCCAGGGTACCAGCACGTCTTTAAGCTGGTCGAGGCCCTGGTGGAAGCGAGGAACTTTCAGGGGCTTTCTGACAAGAGAATAGACAGACTCATCGCGCTCTGGCAGTGCCTGTCAGGGCATGAAAAACAGCGGGTTGTCTACCCTCCCAAATACCAGGAGAGGCAGCAAAGAGGAAGAGCACCCCCTGTCCCAGAAAGGAGAATCTTCAACAGCAAATATCACTTCAGATATTGCATTTTGCTCTAGTAAATATCCGCTGTATACTGACTCACTGGCTTTATACTGTGTACTGTCTTCGCCATGACCATTTTTCAGCTGCCTTCTTGGACAGACCTCTAGCCCTGCAACTTGGCCCAGCACCAGCCAGCTGGTTGAGGCCATTTGCAGCAAGCTCTGCATTCTCCACCCTGTGGCCACACAGGTCGGAGGGGTCATGAGGACTTACTGGTTCCTCATCCTCTCTGAGTACAATTTGATTTGGTTTTAAGTGTTATTTTTTTAGGATTTGGTGTGACATTACATAACTCAATATATATGACTGACAAACACTGTAGATTCTGGTCCCACACTTAACAAGGGTCAAAGGTCACAGTGTTCAAATTAAAACAGCAGCTATTAACATTGATAACTGTTATGGTTGAGTCCCCTCACCAGGGGGGTGAGGGAGAACAAAAAAGGGAGGACTCAAGGTGTAAACCCAGGTGCTTTTGAAGCAGTGGATTTATTAAGACACAAACACAGTCATGAATAAATATGTAGTCCAAAACCAGGGCAGAGTAACAGAGGCTAAGGAGTCCAGGACAGTCAGGTGCGTAGACAGGAGGACTGTAGGAATCAGGAAACAAGGCAGGCATAGCGCTCGCTATAGCACTCGCCATCAGGTATCTATGGCTGGGAGAGTCACCGTCCGATACTCACGGCAGGGAAACTCGCTGGAGGTAATCACGGCAAGGGAAGATTGCCACAGGAGTGGCTGCACCAACATAAGGAAAATCAACCGCACAGAAAACTGTCAGCGTTGAAATCACGTAATGTAAGGGTAAACACATACAATGTTCTGGCAAAGAAGGAGCATCTGCCAGGGGTTTAAATTGGGAAAGAAGATGATCAGCGGAATGCGCCTCAGCTGTGCACTTCACCCAGTGAGTCGCTGATTACAGAATGCGTCACAGCTGAGGCGCTAAGCCTGCAGGATGAGATCAGGAGAGAGAAAGGAGGAAGAGAGGCAGGTCGTGCCGAGCAGACCTGACAATAACTCTCAGAATCTATCAGCTCAAATAAATTTACCTCAAAAAACAAGAAAAATTTGTATAACTAAGGATAAATAAAAATTAAATAAAACAACTCATGCCATTCACACATATCATGTGAAACAGCATGCTGTCATAACAGCACTGTACAATTCACAGTGTCCACACAGCCTCTGCTGAACTGCTCCACAGACAGCTGGTCGACATACTGTGTTCCTTTCCTTGCCCCGACAAGGACTCAAACTACTGACCTTGTGCTCTGTAACAGTTACACAGGAGCAGAACACTCTTTTCCTCTTCCCCCCACCACAGAGAAGAATTTTCAGTAGCCTTCCACCAGTACAGTTGTTTTTGGCAGCCTGTTTTAATTTTAGTTTTAGTCTAGTCTCTGTGTGAAGGTGTCATTTTAGTTTTTATTAGTTTTAGTCACGTTCATACTCTTTTTAGTCTAGTCAAGTTTCAGTCAACTAAAGGTTTGAGCATTTTAGTCTTATTTTAGTCAGAATTATCCATGACTATTTTCATCTAGTTTTAGTCGACGAAAACTGATGACATTTAGTCTAGTTTTAGTCAATGAAAATTGTATTTTAGTCTCTTTTTAGTCATGCAATTCTATTTAACCCAGTCAATATAGGATAAGTACCTAGTAGTATAGACAAAACCAAAATTTTCTTTTAGCAAAACCCATTTCAAACAAGGTTGTCTTATTATGTTATTGTTACTTTATAGACTCAAGAATACGTCCAATGCACATTTTGTGTGATTTTGTGGACACATTTCTCCCCATCTTTTTCCAAAACACATTCAGTTCATTCCACTTCTATGCAATGAAAGTTTTTCCAAATATCGTTTCTTGTTTTTCTCACAAAGACGAGCTCCGGCTGGCCGGCCATCAGTCCCTTTCTCTGTGTCAGACTTAACTTTGTTTGTTGTTATCTTCTAAATAATGCTGCGAGTGGGGCTTAAGGAAGCGACATCGCCTGCGTCTGCACAGTGCGACTTGATGCAGCTCCTGAAGCGAGACATAGGAAACAGAAATACTGCAAAATAATAATAATAACAACATGACTAAAGATGAAATAACATAACATTTTGTTTCATCTTGTTTTGGTCAACGAAAATGAAAAGACATTTTAGCATAGTTTTTATTTTGTAAACCACATTTAGTTGCATTTTTTCGTCAACAATATTGCATTATACATTTAATTATAGGCATCGTCACATGACCAGCATTTATGTTGCGTCTTGTCTTGTTTTCATCATAATTTTTGTTGACGAAAGCAACATTATCCACCAGTATAGACAATGCTTTTCTCAGCAGCAACACCTCTCATTTAGGAAAAGACTGCAGCAAGTCAGGTGCGCCTCAAGCATGAGTATAAACAGTTCTAGCTCTGTGTTGACATCACACCTGGGGCCCGTTTCAAGAAGGAGGTTTGTTGAAACTCCGAGTTTGTTAACCCCAAAATGAGGAAAACTCTGAGTTTTTGGTTCCAGAAACGGAGGTAACTTAAACCCGTGAAAGCGGGGTAAGTTAAACCCGTTTCAAAAAGAGAGGTAATCTAAACTCAGAGTCAGTTACTATGGCAACTTACTCTGTGAACCTAACCTGGTCGGGAGCAGGTTTCGTTCGGGAAACCCAGAGTTTCCTCCGGTCTCCGCCCCCTTTTAAAGTGAAAGGTGTTTAAATAGGCCTACCTCATTTAATCTTTCAGTACATTCATAGATTGCACATGTTTCTGTCATGCAGAGACCAAAATGGCATGTCCATTTATAGAGGATCCTGTAGATGAGGAGGCTGTATTAATTCGCAGGGAATTGAATTTACGTCGGAAGAGGATTTTGAGGCCACGAGTTGATTTTTTGTCATATCCCCATGTATTTTTATTTGAGCGGTACCGTTTTTCTAGAGAGTCCATAACATACAGTATATCAATAATCTTATTGATTGATTTTGATTTGATTTGATTTATTCTTTCAAACATGTAGAAACAAATGATATCAACACACACACATAATTTACACAAATCCAACCAATGCTAATCAAGAATCAGTTTGCTTATACCAGCACATGTTTGAATGGAGTAGGAAGAAGTCAGACTTATCCAGTCCTACCCCATGACATC